TCAGGACACTGGAAGGTCGATTGCCCTCTCCTCAAGAAAGGTAACTCTCTCGTTAATGTCGTAGAAACGTGTTTAGCGGTTGTATCTACCAGAACTTGGTGTGCAGATACTTGAGTCACTGATCATGTCTGCAATTCATTGCAGGGGTTGCAGGAAACCAGACGACTTAAGGAGGGAGAGATCACCGTCTACATGGGCGATGTTACGAAAGTGGTAGCTGTTGTAGTGGGAGATGTTACTTTATCTTTTGATAGTAGTATTTTCGTTTTGAGACATTGTCTTTATGTTCCTAGTTTTAGAAAGAATCTTGTTTTAGTTTCTAAACTTGTTATGGATGGTCTTTCATTTACGTTTGATGATATGCTTATTATTCGTTATGGAAAGCATTTCTTATATTCTGGTTCATTAGTTTACAATTTGTATTGTTCTCAAACCAAATTCTCCCACACTGCAACAAACTGAATTGAATAATATCACGACTAAATCTAATAAGAGGAAGGAATCTTCGAGCATGAATCAAGCATATCTTTGGCACCTTAGACTTGGGCACATCAACCTTAGGAGAATTCAAAAGTTAGTGGCTAGTGGACTTCTTGGTCCATTGGAAGAGCACTATCCAACTTGCAAATCATGCCCGGAAGGTAAGATTGCCAAGAGGCCGTTTACGACAAAGGGGTATAAGAGCCAAGAAGTGCTAGGATTTATTCATTCTGATATGTGTGGTCCTATGTCGATCCAAGCTAGAGGAGGTTTCGAGTACTTTGTCTCTTTTATTGATGATTACTTGAGATTTGGGTACATTTATCTGTTGCACTGCAAGTCCGAATGATTTGAGAAATTAAAGGAGTATCAGATCGAGGTGGCGAATATCTCTTTGGAGAGTTCAGGACATACTTATCTGAAGCTGGGATTGAATCCCAATTGACCGCACTCGGCACGCCCCATCAGAACGGGGTTGCAGAACAAAGAAATAGGACTCTTATGAAAATGGTAAGGTTAATGATGAGTTATTCTAGATTACCAGATTTGTTTTGGGGTTTAGCACTGGAAACAACATCGTACGTTCTGAACTTGGTTCCATCGAAGTTAATAGAGACTACTCCTTACGAATTGTGCAAAGGGCGAAAGCCCAGTTTCTTACATATTCGAGTATGAGGTAGCCCTGCACACGTTTTAGTGCAGGAGGCTGGTAAATTAGAAAAGCATTCAGAAGCACGAGTTTCAACTAGGTTCTATCGAAGTCAATATAGACTACTCCTTACGAATCGTGCAAAGGACGAAAGCGCAGTTTCTTACATATTCGAGTATGGGGTAGCCCTGCACACGTTTTAGTGCAGGAGGCTGGCAAATTAGAAAAGCGTTCAGAAGCACGAGTTTTTGTAGGCTATCCCAAGGAAACGAAAGGTGGATTATTTTATAGTCCCGAGGATCAGAGGTGATCGTTAGTACGAACACTAGATTTTTGGAAAAAGACTATATTATGAACTAGTAAAGAGCCCGTGCGATGCACGGGGTGCACAATTTTAAGGTCATATATCCAACATTGTAATTATATAAATGAATAAAAAAAAATGTACCGGATATATATAGTACTTGACCTGTGCGAGGCACGAGATATATTTATTTGAGGAGTATTATATTAGATGCAATATTCAACAAAAGTTGTACAACACACAGGAAAATTGTACAGTAAAATAGTATTCGACAAATAAACAATCATATATTAAAGACCTCCCTGTACACAACATTATGAGTTTGATTATTGGGTAACTCCTCATTCTCACAAACTAATATTTTCAACCCCCTTTTATTAGTTACACACGAAACAACAATATATAATTGTATAGAGTGATGTGTGAATAAAAAACATTACTTTCATGTACAACCCCAGTAGTATTATTACTACGATTTAATTGAGCAAAAGATATTTCACTCATATTTCGTAATTCTGGCTCTTCATCACTTGTCAGATCAATAACACTTGTTTCTCTTTTAAGATTGATTTTGGACGAAAATGAGCTTTTATGTTGGGTAGTCAAATTAACACTGGGACCGTGGGTCGATTGTATAGTATGTACAAATTAATACACTACAGGAAAATAGAGTTGTAGTGAAGAATTTTTTTGTCATTATGATGTCACTATATCTATTGTCACTACATATACAGTTGTTGTCACTATATCAACAACAACTGTAGATATAGTGACAATAATTGTAGATATAGTGACAACAATTGTAGATATACTGACAGTAGATATAATGACAACAAATATAGATATAGTGACAAAAAAATTCTTCACTAAAACTCTATTTTTTTTGGTAGTGATACAAATTTATAAATAATTATTTTGTTAAGAACATATAACCATTAATTTCTAATTGTTCTCATTCATGATTCTATAGCTGTAGCTCAAAAAACTGCAATCAAAAGTAAAAAGAAATTAGCAAAAATAATATATGTAAAATCAAAAATAAATAATCGTAATTTTTTTACTTTCTATGGTTACCATCAGTGATATTAGATAACGGGGTATTTTTGTGAAGATCGGAAAACATCACATCTTGTTTGAATATTTGTATGTGAAGTACGCATATGTGCAAATTGACTATTCATTCCGTTTCCTGTAAGTAAAAAATATAACTGTAAAATTAATTTTAATTTACAAACAATGGAACTCAAATGAAAGAAAAAAAAAATGGTTAATATATATTAATATTTATTTTATTGTGTATATGTATATAAAATGTACAAAAATTTAATAAATCGTAAAATGAAAATATAACATACATCTACAAATTTGTTAAAAGTGCAAATATTGTAATTAAATTAGCCAATAAATAATTCAGCCCAACTTAAAAAATAAAACTGCCAATAAGTAATTGGATTGATAATAAAAAAATCAGCCCAATTGGGCCAATAATGCAACCCAATTTAATACCAAAGCTGTAGTGATAAGAAGTCATCGGACGGTCAGCAGATCACACCATAATCGGACGGCCGAAAATCGTTAAATTGGAGTATAAAAGGAAAAGAAACCCGAAAAAGAAGGGTTTTCATCATTCACCACCGTCTCACTCTCTCTAACATCTATCTGCAATCAGTTTTTTGTATTTTCCGTGAAAGTTATCGTGAAATCGATAATTTGTTAGAGATTGAGTACAGAAATGGGTGGATCTATCGTTTTGTGGATTCAATTTATTTAATTTTATGAAAAAAAATCAAATCAAACCCGATTTCAACTTTGTCGGTTTTGATTTTCAGATCGGTTTTCGATCTGTGTTTGATTTTTCTTTCGTTCAGTTGGAAATGGTCAAATCGACACTTACATAGAGATTGAGTGCAGCTTCAGATTCAATTTTATATGTTTCTTGGTATCGAATTATACCCGATTTAATCTCTGTTTTAATTTTTTTTCAGGGGGTTTGTACGTTTCTTGGTCAAACTATACAGATAAGATGATAATCGATATATTTTTACCCATTTCCTAGTTTTTTAAGTTCAAATTTCTACAATCTGCACTCAAATTTTTTTTTTTTCTTTTTTTTTAGTTCTTGTTGATTTTATTTTAAATTCATACAGATATGAGAGAGATCTATTGAAAGCGTTACCAGTCAGATTTTTTTTTTTTT